ATTTTAATATATTTTTTTATAATAAATTTATTTATAATTTTTTGCTCCAGACCTATAATGGTTCCCATTTCCTAGTATAGATAATATTATAAAAAAAATATAATTATAAAAGAATAAAAGTATTAATTATAAGTTTTTTTCTATATAATTAAAAAATAATAAAATTTCAAACTTGAATAAACTTTGATTAAAAATCTTATTTTATTATATTAGTTTTAATATTCTTGATTTTCTAAATTAAAGTTCACTTTAAATAAAGAGTATAAATTATTTCTTTAATCAAAATTATTACAAATAGAAATTTTTAACAAAACAGATACAATAAAGAAAGATTTTTTATAATTATTTAAATTTTTGAATTTTAAAATTATTAAATTTTTAACTTTGATTTTATTTATTTTTTTTGTAATTAAGTAAATTTGAGATAATAAGTTATAAAAAATTATTAATAACAAAATCAAATTTTATAGATAATACAAATACTTGTAGTTATTATTCAAATAACTTTATTTCTTATATAGTCAAAATAAATATGAAATTTGTAACTATAAATAAATATAAAAATTATACACTATTATGTATAGTTTTATTTTATTCGTCGAATTAAGAATAATCCCTGGCTTTTGTTTGAAAAACTTGATTTAAATACTTGATCTATAAAAATTTGAAAAAAAGATCAACTACTTCTTTTTAATATTCGGATTTACTCGGACCTTGTTCAAGATTTGTTATTAATTTAGCTAATTATAGAAAGTTTGTATAACGATTGTTTTAACGAGAGTATAAATTTGCAAATTTAAATAATTTTCCAAGTAGGCTTTGACGAAATGATTAGGTCATTGTATCTGAAACGGAGGTACTCTCAGGTTAGTATGCATTTCTCCCCGGATGACATTATTACTTAGATTGTAATCTTGGCACTTATCCAAAAACAAAGCTGGTATATCCTATTAAACAAGTCCAAACCACCCGTCTGCAAAAACTGCTCGTTCGGAACTTGGCCACCGTTATAAACCGTCAAACATATATAATTCCCGAACCAAAAAACTGCTCACAAATCACGCCGTCCTATGCAAAATTAGTTGAAAACCTATCTGTTGTTCAACGAGCTTTGGGTGGTCAGCCTTTGACCCTAGCCGAAAAGATTTTATACGCGCATTTATGTAACCCGCATGAAATTGATAAGATTGTTAGAGGAGAAACTTATCTAAAATTGAAACCCGGTAAGTTTTTTTTTAATATATTTGCTCACGTGATTTGTGTGAATAACGTACATCTTAATATTTTTGAAAAAAGATCGTGTTGCCATGCAAGATGCTTCAGCTCAGATGGCAATTCTACAATTCATGCTTTCTGGAATGTCAAACACTGCTGTTCCGTCCTCAATTCATTGCGATCATTTGATCGAAGCATTTGAGGGTGCTGATAAAGATGTTAAGGTAAATCATGATGCAATGTAAATCATTCCAAAAAATGCATGTAGATCACCATATTTTAATAACGATTTTAGACTGCAGAAATTAAGAACAAAGAAATTTTTAATTTCTTACAAAGTTCGGCTGAAAAATATGGAATTGAATTTTGGAAGCCTGGTAGTGGAATCATTCATCAAATTGTTTTAGAAAATTATGCGGCACCTGGGAT